GAAAGTGTTCCTATTGGCACTAATAGCGGTGTTGATACACAGGCCGAGGACTTCTCATTCATCAAGGGAGATCTTTACGAGAGTAAGGAGAAATTGATAAAAATATTCGGATGATAAAAATATTCGGGGATTGGGATAATTCGTATGAGATCTTACCTCATTATCTTGAAGCACTCAAAAGAGAAAATCCGGGGACTGTCTACGAAGTATCTTCGGACCCCGTTGATGGCGGAGAACGGCGGTTCACCGGTGTATTTTGGGCATTTGGGCCCTGTATTGAGGGGTTTCGATATTGCCGTCCTCTTCTTAGCATTGATGGAACTCACTTATATGGTAAATACAAAGGCGTTTTGCTTGTTGCAACCGGAGTTGACGCGGATGGCGGGTTGTTTCCTTTAGCATTCGCAGTGGTTGATGTTGAAAATACAGAGAATTGGGCTTGGTTTTTTGCATGCATTAGATATCATATCCCTAGTGTGGGGACGCGGTCGATTACATTCATATCCGATAGGATGAAAGGAATTCCAAGAGCACTCCAACGACATTTCCCGCCACCACATGCACATCGCTATTGCTTGCGACATATTAGAGACAACTTCAAGAAGAAGTATGGAAACGCTCAGGTTCAAGACTTACTTTGGCAAGCCGGTTGTGCAACAGAAAAATATGTTTATGAACAAATACGAGAGAGGATCAAGTTCACTTCACGAGCCGCACATGATTGGATCGAAACTAGTTTGGGTCCAAACAATGTTGATAAGTGGGCTTTATGTGAGGATGGCGGTCGACGGTTCTGTATGATGACTACGAACGCGTCTGAGAGCTTCAATGGCGTGCTCAGGGGAGCACGCGGCATGCCAATACAGCTTCAATGGCGTGCACATGATTGTACAAGCTCGGTCCTTTCAGGTTGTACGATACAGTTTTAATGAATGGGAGGTGCTCGAGGGAATAACCCATAGAGAAAATCGCTCTTACAAAGTCAATATGTTGGTGGATCACACTTGTACGTGCACTTGCAATGTACCGCAACTACAATTGATTCCTTGTTCACATGTTGTAGCAGCTTGCTCCGACCTACAGGGTGGTGCTCGCATTTCACATTATGAATTTGTCGACGCTTGGTATTCTGCATACAACTATCAACAAACCTACAAAGAGTGTTTTCGTCCACCATACGATAGTCGACATTGGACACAAGATGGGCCACGGATATTACCTCCACTGTATAAAAGATCGGCGGGGCGCCCTCGTTCCGTGCGTATTAGAAATAGTATGGATGACGGACGTGAAGGAGCTAGGAGGAGAAATAAGTGCAGTAGATGTGATCAACCGGGTCACAACAAAAATAGGTGTCCAGTTAGTATTAGGCGTTGATTTGTATTATGTATCGTTTTGCACTATGTCATTCGTAGTTGTTATCTTTGAAGCGTATGATACTCGTTATTTGTAATATGTTCTGTATGCAACTCCGTTCATTTCACCCATGCATTTGTATTATGTAGCGTTTTATACTATGTCATTCGTGTATGTCATTCGTAGTTGTTATCTTTGAAGCAGTTTATTGCACTCTGTATATATGCTCATATTTTAATCACAGGTCTATTCATTATGGATCCGGGACCGGAGAATCCCGACGTTTTGTACCTTCAGGCGAGTCATTGTTCAGACCATATTGGTTCGGGAGAGGTAATACGAATAAATTAGATATATATTTCTTCGATTAATGTAATTTTTTAATGAATATACTTAAAACTGATTCTCGTTTTATGTGCAGCCCGTACCAGAGTACACGATGATCGAGCATTCCCATAGTCATTCGGCATGGGTCATAGAGGATGAGAGGGTACTAGCTTTGATCGCTCAGGCCGGTTTTCGACCGTGTTCGACGATTCGTTATATCAGGCTTGATTGGCCGCTTATCACTGCTTTGATTGAGAGGTGGAGGCCAGAGACCAACACCTTTCACATGCATATAGGGGAGTGCACGATCACTTTACAGGACGTGGCCGTCATACTTGGGCTCCGGATCGATGGACCGGTAGTTACGGGCACCGATGATCATAGTTGGCCGGAGGTATGTGCCCGGCTTCTTGGACAGGTTCCCGACTTGAGGAGTGGTGCGATGAAGCTATCGTGGCTTCGTCAGACATTTCAGGGCGACATACCAGAGGATGCCTCTGATGAGACGCTCCAGTTTCATGCTCGTGCATACATATTGCACATGATAGGGTGCGTACTATTTCCTGATGCGAGCAAGACTCTCGTACATGCACGATGGCTGCCACTGCTGGAGGATTTTGGTGTATGCGGCGCACTATCGTGGGGCAGTGCGGTGTTGGCATATTTGTATCGAGAATTGAGTAGAGTATCTCTGATGCAGAATAAAGAATTCAAGGGATGCTGTACGTTGATACAGATTTGGTCATGGGAGCGCATTCATATTGGACGACCCACTTTACTTATGCACCGTGACTTAGAGGGGCAGTATCCGTTGGCATACAGGTATAATTGTACACACACATATTTCATTCGTAACCTGAATATTTGTACTTATATATTCGCTATTCTGCATATAGGTATAACGTGCGATACGCTCAGTACAAATCAGCGACGCGTCACCGTCACTGATGGAGGAGAGATGTTAGGAGGCGGAGTTGGGGGAGCTCGAGAGAGAGAGCGAACGAGAGGGATGCAGGTTTTTTGGGGATTGATGGAGGAGGAGAGATGGGTTCACGGGGAGGATTACGGATCTGGGTCCTTTTTTTTGAGAGGGAGAGGATTTGGGATTTTGGGTTCACGAGCTGTTATACAAAGAGCCGCGATTTTTGCAAAAAAACCCAAGAGCCCTGTAATGCCGTACGCAGCTTGTGCGTACTTGAAATGTTGCTGTAATATATATATATATATATATATATATATATATATATATATATATATATATTGTATATTATATATATATATAATATATATATATATATATATAGTATATATTATATATGTGTGTGTGTGTGGTGTTGTGTTGTGTGTGTGTATAATATATATATTGTGTATGTATGTAATGCTATGTATGTATGTATATATGTATGTATATATGGTGTGTGTGTGTGTGTGTGTGGTGTGTGTGTGTGTGTGTATATATGTCTGTATGTATGTATGTATGTATGTATATATATATATAAATATATAGTTATATATATATATATATATATTATATAATATATATATATATATATATACATACATATATAATATATAATTTATAGTATTCCAACTGGAATTTTGGTGCCTCGGCGAAGCCCTGCCGGATTGAAGACTTAAAGTGCACAGATTTCAGAGAAGAGGAGGAGAGATCGGATCGAGTTCTTCAACGCAAGAGAGAGAGAGATTCGTCAGATCTACAGTTTCTCGGATCCGTTCCTTAAGATTATCCCGTTGTGGTAATCTTAAGAAGAGTGATTATCTCGCTTCGCCGAGATAAGAGCTACAGTTCTCTCGATCCCTTCGCGGATAGACGAAGCTCTGCCTAATTTTTTAGTAATCAGATCTGATCGACGGTAGTCCACGGATAAACCCCGGCACAGGCAAAGACACCCACGCAAGCAGAAGACCGATAAACAATCTCCCTGCGTTTGTTTGATAAATTTGTAAACTTGTTTTATTTTCATTGTGTAAGGAGATCTTATAAAAAGATCAACTTTTTATTTTATTCGAGTTTATTGTAATGACTAAAGTTGTAATAGATTCGATAGCAATGAAAACAGCAACTTTCGATGCAAACACAATAGACTCAAGAACTTCCTCCCACACCTTGTAGATAACTCCCAAGCTGCTTTCCAAAGTGGTAAATCAACTTTGGACTCTATCCTTCTAGCTCATGAGTGTTAGACCCTAGGGGGGTGATTAGGGTCTTATGCTAATCTAATCCGAATTATATGCCAATTAAAATTAATTAATAAGTTATCCTAGCAAGTATGAAATACAACAATATATGAGCTAGGATAAACAATATGAACAACGAGATATATCCTAACAAAGAGATATAGGCAATGTATGTGCAAGGATATATAAACTACACAAGGGTAAATAATCTAAACAAGATAGTGAATGATATAGTAATGAGCAACGCACAATGGCGATATAAAATATGAACATAAATATAAATGAACGCCAAAGCCCACTCAAACACAATCAAATGATCACGGAGTTCGAACCTTCCGTCCTACGTCTCCGCTCCCCACTCCCGGGGAGAAATCCACTATCACAACTGGGTTTTCTACACTCACCCGAATAACGTTTACACCTCACACTCGGTTTTCTAGCTAACCGAAAACTTTATAATCGACACTCTTGCAATCCCACTCTACACCCACTAAGTGTTGAACTAGACGTGTCTCCCTCAAGTGCTCGGTTACAACCTCTCCCTAGGCACGTCAACCGACGCCACTCCTCTTGGAATGAATTTGATTCTCCCCTTTGTTTAATTCTGGGTTCTTCACGGTGGCGATGAGATGCCTCCCTCGAATGCTCGCGTCGAGTTTGCTTCTCGTTGACGATCCGAACGTCTTGATTCACTGGAACGATGTCTTCTCCTCACGATTTGACGCTGTGGAGAACTTGCGTGGCAAGTTTGAAAATAACTCTTAACGAGTTGATGACTCTGAACGAGTTTTAGAAGAACTTGCAGAGCAAGTTTTGAACTCTGATCGAGTTGATAACTCTGACGAGTTTTAGAAGAACTTGCGGAGCAAGTTTTGAACTCTGATCGAGTTGATAACTCTGAACGAGTTTGAACTCTTGAAAAAGAGTTGATTTGAACCGAAAGTCGGTTATAAGCCAAGGGAATGCTCCTGTGGTCGATCGTTGCTGAGGATGACCGTCGATCTCCCCCTTGTTCCCAAAAAGAAGAATCCAAGAGCCCCAATGTGCCAGCCTTTTGACCAAATATCCCTTTGTTGATCAGAGAAAATTCGATCCCTCAACTCAATTGAGTTTCTGGTATTTATAGGGGATTAAGGGTGGTAACTACCCCCTTAATCCGCTCTTAAGTGGGGCGAAAATCCCTCAAATCGTGGGGAAAAAACAGTTCCTGGAATTGTTCATTGCTTGCTTTGAACGAGTCAAACGCTAAAAAATAGTGTTCAGGGCCCGAACTCTGCGTTTTTAGACTAAAAACGCAGAGTTAGGCCTATTTTGGTAGCTGAACGCACAGTTGGGCCTGTTTAAGAGATTAACTCTGCGTTTTGATATTAAAAACGCAGAGTTAAGCTTGTTCTAGGCTGAAAACGCACAGTTCGTGCTGTTTTAGAGATTAACTCTGCGTTTTGATGTTGAAAACGCAGAGTTGAGCCTGTTTAAAGGCTGAAAATGCACAGTTCGTGCTGTTTTGGAGATTAACTCTGTGTTTTAGGCTGAAAACGTAGAGTTTGGCCTGTTTAAAGGCTGAAAACGCACAGTTCGTGCTGTTTAAGAGATTAACTTTGCGTTTTGATATTGAAAACGCAGAGTTAAGCCTGTTCTAGGCTAAAAACGCACAGTTCGTGCTGTTTTAGAGATTAACTCTGCGTTTTGATGTTGAAAACGCAGAATTGAGCCTGTTTAAAGGCTGAAAACGCACAGTTGTGCTGTTTTAAAGATTAACTCTGCGTTTCTAGATTGAAAACGCAGAGTTGAGCCTGTTTAAAGGCTGAAAACGCACAGTTATGCTATTTTAGAGATTAACTCTGTGTTTCTAGACTGAAAACGCAGAGTTGAGCCTGTTTAAAGGCTGAAAACGCACAGTTATGCTATTTTAGAGATTAACTCTGTGTTTCTAGACTGAAAACGCAGAGTTGAGCCTGTTTAAAGGCTGAAAACGCACAGTTGTGCTGTTTTAGAGATTAACTCCGCGTTTTGATGTTGAAAACGCAGAGTTGAGCCTGTGCGCTTTGACTCTGTAATGCAGAGGCGAACCTTAGGCGGGCTTGGCGGGCTTCAGGCTAAGTCCAATGTTCTGACGAAGTCCAGTCTTGCAGACGGACTTCAGAACATTATTTGCTACGAAGAACAGGTCATAACTTTCAAACCGTACGTCGGAATTGGACGCGGACTTCAGAACATTATTTGCTACGAAGAACAGGTCATAACTTTCAAACCGTACGTCGGAATTGGACGGATTATATATGAAAATCGGCTATCTCGACGAGACGGATCCATCCGAACCAAGCCAAAGGCTTTGGTTTGCTTCCTCCGTTTTGCTAAATTCCTTACGGTTTGAGAGATATATGCGTTTTAATATGAAGAGACCGTCAATTTGTAATCTCTTTTTGCTAGAGCTTTGCACAGATCGTCCTCTTGTAATCTTCGTCTTGGCTTCTTGAAAATATGAGAGTCGTCAGATTGTAACTCCCGATGTTGATTGTGAAGGCTGTTGAATTAGAGCTTTCATCAGTTGTCGTGAAGGTCGTCAGATTGTAGCCTTCTACGTGAAAGTCCTCAAATTGTAGCCTTCTGGAAGTCGTCAGATTGTAACTTCCATCATCGGTGTTTGATGGGGGATCAACTATCTATTGTGATTTTTAGACAGCCTACAGAACCCCCTCCAAAGTTTTCGAAAGTTCGCGGTTGACTGGGACGAATTTTCGGAATACTTTGGATCTCAATTCTGATCTTGGAGCTGTTGATTCCTTGTCACAAAGGAGTTGTTCTCTGCACTCGCTTCGAAGGCAGCTTGGTTGAAGGGATTTTTCATACAGAACCTGTGTGAAGGTATGCGCCATAATCCTGCTTCTGGAATGTGGGGGTGGACCCTGTATTTTGAACTTG